ATAACATCATCTGCATGTCATATACATCGTCCTCGGCCACTACCCAAAATATACAAAACATGTTCACCCCAAAAGATTCATCAAACACGATACGCCACAAGGGCACACAAAATCATCAGATAACAAAATAACTCCTCAAAGCCCCGGTGTTACGTATTAGAGCATCCCTACGAATCGCCATAAACCAAGCTAGCTACGCACCTGGAATATCTGTACTTCCGAAGAAGCACAGACCACAAAAAAAGCAGAGGGGTGAGAAATCACGATCAAAATATAACGGTAATAATGTACATGACTAAAAGGCAGTAAATCACACAATTATCATTCACATACATCTACCCGGACCTACTGTCCCACACAGCCATAACATATAAAATAATGCAACACATGCAACTCAACCAATGTTATGCGGTACCGACTCAACAAAAACAACGACGGGCACCTGGTCATCAACCTTCCCGAAGGAACACATTATCATCACCGATGGGCACCAGGCCATCACCCTCCACACAGGAGCACATCACAACGGGATAAATCACTTACGCTCCCCCGAGACAGGATCTATCCCTCACAATCACCGATGGGCGCCAGGTCATCACCCTCCACACAGGAGCACATCACAAAAGGATAGATCACTTACGCTCCCCCGAGACAGGATCTATCCCTCACAATCACCGATGGGCACCAGGCCATCACCCTCCACACAGGAGCAAAATATCACTACCGATGGGCACCAGGTCATCACCCTCCAAACAGGAGCACAATATCACCACCATGCTATGCATAACCCCAATGCATAACACAAAACAACAAACACAATAAGTGTACACAATTCCACTGATCACATTTCATCACACTATACCCCATTCATACGCAATCACATACACCGAATTCAATCATTCTAATTGAACAATATCAAGGAAATCATATTCCACACCACACATATACTCTCCACAGCTCACTAACAATCAAGTAATCAACCATGACCAACAAGGATCCAACAATCACGAGAGAACCGAACCGCACAGCTCAAAAACACAACATTTTGTCACGCTCGCTGGCACATTCGCCTGGCGAAGCCCCGCAGCGAATGCTCGCTGAAGCTCGCCCGACGAAACCCCTGGCGAAGCCAGACAGTGGCTAATGGCAGCACTCGCTGCCCAGTTCGCCTGGCGAAGCCTGGTGAAGGCTCTTCCCCTCATTCGCCCAGCGAATACCTGCGATTTCCAGAAAAATAATACCACATCTCAGAGTCGGCAAAACGCTCCGAACTCAGCCGATTCTATTCCAAACCAAACCCCATCATACCAGACCATTATTCTACATCCTAACTACAACATGTATCCTCGATTTAACCCGATAAAATGTCAGCTTTATGCGTTTACTCAGTTTCGGCATAACTTTGAACTACCCGGAAACCCCCAAATCAATCAAACAGCACATGCAACGGATTCTACATATCATCAACACTCAGAATCACAACACATATCAACAAAGTTCATCACAACCTAGTGGGGTTAAGGGAAATTCCCTTCTACCTATTATTTATGAATTTACCGAAATTTAACCGATTCTCCCCCCCCCCCTCTTTACCTCGAACGCATCTTTGATCGAAGTAGAAATTCCAAAATCTGGTAGTTTAGACCTTCTCCTTCCTCTTGCTCAAGCTTTTCTCTTCTCCACCGTGCTCACTCTTGATCGTGTTCTTCTACCATGTTCTTCTCTTCTCTCTTTTTCCCAAATGCCACTTCTGCCCCTAATACCCCAAATAAACAATTCTCATTTTCTTTTATTCCAAAACAATAATCCTCATAATATTAATATTAGTAATAATAATAATAATAATACTAATATCAACATTAATATTAATTATTATCATTATCGATTACATAATATTAATACCATGCTCCTTATTTCCTCAACAACTTTCACACAAAGCACGCCGAAACAAAACAACACGGGAAAACTTAAATAATTAAAATGGGCGTTACACAAGTCATTTGAATAGGGGCAGCTGTTGCACCCCAAAATTTGCCCAACCTTTTCTTGGCTTGACTTTGTTTCATTACATTATGTTGCATTTCTGCATTGCATAGCATTTGTTCTTGAGACAGGGAATTGAGGTTTTCCTGTGGCTCAAAATTCACTCTCAGGGCAAGCAATTGAACCACGAGCATTAACGGGCTCCGACATTTATTTTGCCCAGCGGTCGAGCGACCGATTTTATTTTGTTTTGCAGGTTATTTTTTAGCTCAAAAAGCAGCATTCAGGCTATCACAAGCAGTCTCATGGTTACAACGTTCAAGAACATATTCCAGAAGCTTAACAGGGTTCGAAACAGCAAGAAACGGGCAAACGGGCAGGTTTCCCTCCAAAAGGCGCCAAATTCAAAAATTTGAATGTGTTAATCGGTTAACGCATATGGTTAACCGATTAACCATTGAAAAATCAGCCCACATTCAAAAATTCAAAAGTGTTAATCGATTAACCTATATGGTTAACCGATTAACCAATACAGTTTTTGCCTCTGTACGTGATTTTTCAATGCAGAGCCATTTGGGGTCTAATTTTGGTCATTTGAAAATTCACTTTTACACTTGGGAAGGATCTATAACCATTTTGAAATTTGGATTAGTTTTCAAATTAATTCAATTCCCTCCAAACTCCCACTCCTAATTCCATTCTAAATTTTCCAAACCACACTCCAAACCATGCTTTGGATCCAAGCCAAAAGGATAATTAAGTGATTCACTCCAAACCAAAGCATTCTAACCTTCATTTTTCACTCTAATTTCAAAATTGATCTCATTTCTCTCTCAATTCTCTAAATTTCCTCCATAGCCAAAACCTTCACCAAAGCTCTTTTCTACTTGAAATCCTTGATTCTTCATTGGAATCATTGATTTCTAAGAGCTAAACCTTCATCTATCATCTCCATTGGATCAGTTTCTTTATTCAATTTTTGTGCAAATTCAAATCTGAAATTTGAAGTGAAGCCAGAAGTGATTATTTGAAGCAATTTGGCTTAATTTTGAAGGATCTCCATCTCTACTACAAGGATTAGCTTGGATCTTGAAGTATTTCGGGTTTCTTGCTTCGACCTACTCATTTCCAGCAAATCAATGTTAACCGAAGCAAATCTCCGCTTCGTAGGTTGGAAATTCTTGATCCGATTCTGTTTTTAGCTTAATTACATGTTCACCATAATGATTTTCATTTTTGATTGATTTGCTGCATTTTGATTCATATGATCTGTGTTGATCCTGTTTGAATTTGTATACATGCTGTTGGAATCATGGTTTTCTGATTTAATTTTTTGCATGGCTTATTATGAAATTATTGATATGTTCGGAGAAGTGATAAGCTGTTGAAAAGTGATTCTGCTTTGTTGTTTTCTGCTGTTAGCACAGTGTTAATCGGTTAACGCATATGGTTAACCGATTAACCAGTTCAAATTTTCAAAATTTTTAAACATTAATAGTGTGTTAACCGATTAACCCTGGGGGTTAACCGATTAACACTGTGCTGGCAGACCTCTTTTGCTGCTTTGTTTGATTGTTTGCATACCGTTTCACTTCGAATCTTCATGAATTGATATGATGCATTCGGAGTGAAATGTTTTGGATGTTTGTCACTATTTGTGATTGGTTGATCATGATTTGGTTGAAACTTGTGTTCATTGTCCACTTGTATGCATACTTATGGATGTGGTTTAGAGTGATGACTCTTTGCATGTTCGTTTGTTTTCTTTTTTGCTTTCCTTTCCATGTTTGCATCATTCTTGCATCGCTGTTGAGGTCGAGACGTGCTTGTGGCGGCCGCTGCCCCACACATTTTTTTCCTCCCTCCCTTCATTCTAAGTGTTGCATTTTTATGTATGCATCTCTTACTTGTGATTGAATTTACTTGGTGCTTTCTTGTGCTTTTTTTTTTTTTTGCCATGATCCCCATAGGGTTCCTAGTCCCTCCGTTTAGGATGAGAGTAGGAGAGACATTAGGTGTTCAATCCAAGCATGCTAACATTAGGATAGATGTTCCCCCTTTTTATCCTAACTTTAGGACCACTTTGCATGACAACGTTAGGGCCGAGTTTCCCTTAATAAACAATGAATGAAATAAAAAATAGTGTTCTTCCGATATCATATTATGAAACTGATTCAGAGAACTATGATTGTGATAATATAGCCCTTATCATTCTCCTTATTGAATCAATGTGTACATTGAATGACTCTTGTTTATACAAGAATATGAGAGCAAGTTTGTTAAACTAATTGCTAGGAGTAGGATCTATTGAATAACCCCTCAGTATAAATGTGTATATGTAATGAAGTATAAGATTGTATTAGTACAAAAATGCAAATATAGATTAGAGTAAAGAGAAGTATACAAAAGTTTTGTTCACGTAGTCGGACTAAATTGTCTACGTCTACGACTATAGAGTAGTTATAGCTCTTTTTATTTATGTCTTGCGAATTGCATATAAATTATAGTATTACAAGCCATATATATAGTTTGAGGTTTTAGTTTATCTAAAATCTTAATCTCTAATTTTCCTTAACAAACAATTATCTCTACTCATAATTATCTTAACCAGAGTTATTCTCTCAGCCTATAGTTATCTCAACAATCCATAATTATCTAAACAATATGAGATATACTCTCAACAACCCACCCATAATTATTTCAAGAGATTGCAACCAGCAACTACTTGTATAATTGAAAGAAAAAAATGAGAGAGACTACATAAAAGGAAGTATACAAGTTTAAAAAGAAATAAAATATTTTAAGTTATGATGACTAAGAGGACTTGCATCTCCAAGGGGGTGATTTTGTGCAAAATATACATGTAGAAATGCCAGCAGAATCGAATTCACCAATTATGGCCATCTATAAAACATGAATGCTTACACTGCGCATACATAGTTTCAGCCACTAAATAGTGTATTAGATCAAATATGATAAGTAACAGGTGATAATGCCAATGTAATCTAACTGGTCAATCATATAGATATGCTGTTGGGGATTCCACGGCCAGTTACACCGGGGCCTGACGTGGGAAGCAACAGTTCATAGGGAGGAACACCTGCACCGGTTCTACTTTTCAAATGTGGATCTTTATTTCTTGCATTTATTATTTCCTCTATCTCCTCAAGTCTAGTAGATAACTTACTAAACAATTTTCGTACTGCATGATCATTGATCCAATGATTATGCAGATGATTCACCTGTCCCAAATACTCTTCGTCAGGCGAATGAGTCGACAGTGTGTCCTGAACAGCCATTACTTTGGTAGCTTGAAGTTGAGTAGGCAATGATGATAGAAAGAAAAGCTGAGGATTTTGAATAAACTTCTCATAATCAGGATCATTTTCTTGTGGGATAAGTTTTCTCATGAGGGTAGGACGGTTAGGCACATACCCTCCGAAAGGGTATTGTCCAAAATTGATAGCAGCGTGTTGACCTGAAGCAACCCATATAATTGTTGTAAGTATGCCAGCAAGGTCCTCTTTGGTATCAAGGTTAGGCCACCAAGGTTCATTCCTTTTGTCATAGTGACCCTTAAACTTGATTTCACTCCACCATTCTTGGAGCTCATCGTCGGATGCGATTGAATTTGATTCAGAATAGAAGTGTTCAACATAAGATTCTACCCATTCTTTAATGGCAGACCAGATTAGGAGTCCATCTGCAGCATAAGGGTAGTCATCAATCACAAGTTTTACACCAAAAGGCATTGAAGGGTCTTCTACTGCCATGCCCCTGGAAAACAACGCCAATTCTCAACAAATGTAATACTATTACTACTACTACTACCAACTTTCTTAATTTGCACGATTTTAGTCAACGGAATCAAATGTTTAAGGAAAAAATGTAGTAACAATTTAAGAACAAAATAGACATCAAGGAAATGTGTGAAAGCAGGGTTTTAAAGCATGACATCATAGTTACCTCCGAATGAGATCTGCTGGGAGAGACTCCATATCAAATCTCCACATGTTCTTGTAAGCTGCTGAACTAAGCTCCATTGCATATTTTCCAGGACTGAAACAAGCTTCAATTACACCCCCTCCATTAATTAAATTTTGCCTAGCAAGTGCATTAATTTCCATTGTATAGCGCAAATGAGGGTGTAGCAACTTGTAAATGGGGTGCATTGAGCTTAATTGTCTATGAGTAGCAATTATATATGGCTCCATGCATGCATGAGTCCTTAACCTGCATATTACATAGTGCCACTGTATCTTTATTCGCAGCCAAATGTGAGAAATGCATCATTTGAGCAATTTGAATTTATGAATATGAACTCAATTTGAATTTGCTCAAACAGAAATTGTCTTACCAATGATTTACTAATTGATGGATGCCAGCATCATTTGAGCAAGCATGAGCTTTTGCTAACTTCCAACGCCAGTGTGCTGTGGCATCATGGCCTATTGTGTAAACTCTTTTATTTTGTGGGGAAGAATGTGTTCGAGGAAGCGAAAGCTCAATAGCTATGGGACGCAAAATACCAGTCTTTGTATAGAAGAGAATCGTCCGCGAGGCATAAGCTTTCCTCCCAGGCAAGGAGTTCATCTTCTTGATGAATGGCAGAAGTGTGTCATGGTAATCAATAATAAATAGTCTCTTTTCCTCCATAGCCTGCCAGTGTAAAAATAATTGATTACAAGTAGAGAAAGTGAGTTTCTGTAAGATAAACAAATCAAACAAAACAAACATCCATGAAAGTGTAAACCTCTTCCTATCATTTTCCTATCATTAAAAAAGAAAGCAACAAAGACAACATGGAGCAAACCTTTTCCAAGCTCATTGCACCAAGTTCTTCCTCCAGTAGTTCCTTAGTTATTGCTGATTCAGGAGGGCCATAGACAGTTGGATCTAATTTGCTGCAGACGGGAAACTCCTGCAAAAGACAAAGAACGTCTATAGGAGATCATAGATGAACAAAATGATAGTGATACTCGTGCAATTTCCCAACAACAAACAAATATGAAGAAAAACTGAAAACTACCTTCAATAGTTCAATATTCACTGGATTGACCCCAGCTAAGGCCTGTCTTGCAAATTCGTTGTCCCGCAACCAAGAAAATTTATCTCCTGGAACAGCTCAAAAGGACTAGTTATTGGAATGAATGTGGTTTTGATCAATACAACATTATAATGCATTCAAGGTTTTAAATTGTGGTACATTCAAATGTGCTTGATAAATCAATTTTGACCGATGAGGTCTCCATTGAAATCACGAACCGAGCGTATGTTTAGCTTCATTCGAGGTGTAGAATTGATTTTGATATGTTTAGATGTTTTCGAGTAGAATTCATTTTGTCTTCAGAATTGATTCTAACTTGAAACTAGAATTTAAAGCTTGTCTCTACAATTGAGTTTTAGACTCGGGCTTATTTTCAACTCATTTTTATATGAATGCATTCAGACCTAAAGCATTTTACATTCAACTTACCTTTAGTCAAGATGAATTTTACATAATCAATTTATTATAAATTAAATTTTGTCATTGCAGAACCAAACTCGGTTTGCTTGAAATCAAGGAAGTAAAATAGAAAGAAATATAGAGATAGCATACCTTTTATAACTGCTGGGATTTCATATTTCAACAACCGGTGTCCAGCACTTACGACCTCTTTCATCGCCTTTCCCACCAAGAGATTTTGCATAATCCCTTTATGCTCTTCATCTCTTAAAGAAACACCACCAATATAAAGGTTGTCAATTTCCGAGAAACATTTGAAAGGAATGTCTGAATTGGATAAAGTGGCTGCAAGTGAAGGTATAAGATTGTGGAGCACAGCTTTCAATCTTCCAGCAGAAAATGTGGCCTGCTTGATTTCTTCAAAAGTTTCATCGCGTGGCACATAAACAGGATGTGGCTTTTCAATTCTACTCTCACACATGTGATCTAATTTACGACACAATTTTTCACACTTCATTAGATATTTTGTTTATTCCCAAAAATTCAAAAAGGTGCCAAGTAGAATTTTAAAGCATAAGCAAAATTATGAACTCTACCGGAGCGAGTGGGAGGTCTTCCAGTTCTACAGCGGCGAGGATAAGGTCTGTCATGATCCCCAAGGACAGGCCTAACAAGTTCCTCATCTTTATCAGGGTTGCCCAAATCATTATAAGTAGCATAATCATAGATTCTATCATATGGTTTTCTTTCCCTTTCTTGGTGAGTACCGCTACCCCTTATGCTTAGCAAGTCCTCACGTCGAAGATCTTTGATACCAGGTGGTGTTTGTGATGGTAAATATGCCTATCAAATCCAAGCAAACAAAACAACATGCAAAGTTAAGTTGGTATGGAGGAGGTAAATGTTATATATCAATGACACTTCACATCAAAGGCGTGTCACACACTTGTTTGTTAGTATCAAACAATACATGTATTTTACATTCAATCACTTTCATTTCCTCAAATTATTATCGGTGTTTACAATATCAGTGTTGCCATATCCAATGCAGTGTTTGATAAGAAAAAGAGCATTAACGAATAATTACTCAATGTTAGCTACTATATTTATCACACTACTACTCACATGATTTTTGAATATGATTCTACTTTGAGGGTTGTCTTTACATGAATGAATCCATGTGTTTGCTGGGAAGAAAATGGGTCCTTGAGTGAAGCCATGAAGGATGATTTCCAATAAGTGGAACTCTTTTGCATGAAGATTGGTAATGAGAATAGCAGCAGGGGATCCAAAGTCGCTTGGCAATGTGAAATCAGCTGAGTATTCCACAATATATGGAATGTTTGACGGCTTCGGCAGCCAACCTCTTACGTGGGAATCCATACTCTTTCCACAATTAGTCTCTAAAAATGTAACATAACAACAAAATCAAGTATAATGAAGTTTGACTTGTTATATAAAAATATAATGAATTTAGTAAATCAACATCAACGAAATAGTAAATTCCGATCAAATTAGTTTCCAAATTGTAGAATAAAATTTAATCACTTAAGTTGAACAATATCAATCAATTTAGTTATTTTTCCAAAAACAATTGACACCACAATTTTAAAACGGTTGTATGTTTGTCTATATACTTCTATGTTGTCCCTAAATATAAGACCCCTAACGTAAATCACATGAGTTAAGAAAGTTGATTGGAGTAATAAGTCTGTTCATTTGTATAATTTAACAAATTTATTATTAAATGAGAGAACTATTTAATGTTTGTCTAAGAATATTAAGTGCAAATTGTAGAAAAAGATGCAACATAACTACAAGTACATAGGTAACAAAATTATTAATGCACTATGAATTTGAAGAGAATCTTATAAATAGGACAAGTCGCTGCTCAGTATTGTGCATTTTACATCTGTCAAACCAGTAACTTGCACTACAAGTCTCTGCTTTGTATTTACATGACTTGCTATTGTATGTTGGTAATGTTTGTGATGTAGAGGTTAGTTAGGATCTGCACATGCTATAAATAGCAGCTTGTAACTAACTTGATTTCAATCATTCCATTACAATCAATTTGAGTTTGTTAGTTTTTCTCCCTTTTCTCTCCTTTCTATTATAGTTCTTCTTCTTCACAAAGAATTTCATGATGGTATCAGAACTCAAAAGCGCATTGTTCATTATAGTTTGTGGTATCACAAATGCTGTTAATCCTCTTATTGCAGATCCATCTCAAATCCCTGGCACTGTTTACTATGTCCATGCATCCGGTGGACATTTTGTTGTTGTAAAACCAGTTCTTATTCGTTCAAATAATCATGTTTGGGTTCGATCAATGAAATAAGCACTTGGAGGTAAGACCAAGTTTGATTTTGTTGATGGATCCATTGTCATTCCTACTGAATTGTTGTAACATGTTAATTCAATCTTGAATTATAAATTCAGTAGATGATTCTGTTAAGAGTCTCACATCAGATAATATATGGCTTGAATAACATATTCTATTTCTCAAAGCATTGTGTTCCTTGATGTATGGAATGAATCTACATTTGAATCTTTTACTTCAATGTGAGATTTTTTTCTTGGAACAAGATACAATAATTAAAAATTGGATAGAGTATAACTCCTCCAACTTCAATATTCATAATAACCATTAGCTAAAATACTTTTTTGCCAAAAAAATAAAAAATAAAATATAGAGAAGCTAAAGTACATTTTAATTTGAATCCTTTATCTTTTGTTTGTTTAGAAATAGTTCCTTGTTTCATTAAAATTATATTTATTATAATCCTTTTTTATATTATGAGATGATTATATTTTACTAAAATTATATAGTCTAAGACAATTTTGACTAAAAAACGTCTTTGAAACCAAAATTACATATAGCAAACTTCCAAACTTAAAAAAAAAGAACATTCTCCCCTAAGATCCATCAACAAAGTTCACGGATATTATATAATTAAAATTTTCAAATTTATATTTTTAAAAATAAATCATTTATGTAATGAAAAAAAGAATTTTATAATCAAATCGAGAAACTACTAGTCTACTACCAACGTGAAAAACACGTGGGACACGAGGATGGGTTTGAGCCGGGTGACTGCCAGAGTCAGGATATCTTTGTTCGTATATCTCTCTTACACTTTCCCTTTAATCTTTTCTTTATTTATTATTTTTTTACTTCCTTTTTATGTAAAACACCCTGTCCATTCTCCAGCGTTTATGAGACATAACAAGAATATTTTTAAAAAGTAAAAATAGAAAAGAGATATGAATAATCATAAACTGTGTTGAATATTAGTATGTTAACTAAAAATAGAAATAATAATATTATAATAAGGATGAAATGAAACAAACCTGGGTCAATTTGTTCACTGACGACCCGAATCTGTATCCCCTGACCAGCACCATTGATGAAATACTCTAACCGATCTTCAACAATATTGTTACCTTTCATCTTCTTCCTTATCGTCACAACCGCCTTCACATGCATCACTTCGCCGTTGCTGCTACCACCACTCGAGCCACGTGGAACTGACTCGTTGCTCCCTTTGCTCTCCATCGGAGACGACGTCGTAGTCTTGCTGTCCCCGCCACTGATCGCTGCTTGAATCTGAACTCTCCGCCGTCCATATGACCGTGGAAAAACTCTACGGTGCCTCTTCTCAGTTCCGCCGGAGAAGACCGTCGGAGATCGGAGGAGTGAGAGACTTGACTTCACTGCGAACATGTTGATAATTCGTCGATCACGTGCAGCGTCTCTAACTGGAAAATAGAGCGTAGTGGTCTAGTAGTAGCAGTTCTATGCATAATAATAATGCTGCTCAAACGACGTCGTTGGATGACTCAGACAGCTGGCTTTTTTTATATATAATTTCGATTACTTTGTAAAAGATAATAAGAAAGATGACGAAAAACTTCATTTTTAACTTTTTGTTCACTTATGGGATAATGACTTTTTTGGTCCAGAGTAAACGTGAGTTTCTTGAGTTCTATTTGTCGTGATTGTCATTTCCCATTCCACATTCAGTTATTTGTAGCTTTTGAAAAGTCCTTCCATTATGGATTGTCTTTTTATAGTTCGATGGTACTAATTAAGAACTGTGACATGAGAGAGGAGCATGGACTCGCAATGGACAATTGTGCTGGACCACAATAAAGGAACGAGCACGGGCACTAAATGATATATAAACGTGGTGGAGGGATTTTTTTTAATAGGAGGAAATACATGCGATATGTGTGGATGTTATGAACAACATAAACAAATAGATAGACTTTTATAAGATGTCTTTTAATGGAAAAAAAAGGACATATGTGAGACGTAATGTTTTAACCTGTGTTTAACATTTAATCTTTATTAGTATATTAATGATGTAGTTGATCTTTATTAGTATATTAATGATGTAGTTGTTTAGAGCGTGATTTTCTAATTGGATTTCAATTAGATTTATTTTTTATCTTTATACAATGCATTTATGTAGATTCGTTTGACTATATTGGGCGTGGTCAAATCAATTTAAATGAAAAATTAAATTTGAATCAAAATATATATTTTTTTGGAGGATATTTAAAAAATAAATATGAATAGAGTATCCTACAATTCTGGACCTGATCCAATGTTTATTGGAAAAAGTCTAGAGTTTGCTTTGCTATTTAAGTAGACTCAAACCTAACGTTTGAGGTGTGCAAATATTGAAGGTTTTTTTGTGTTAGGGTTTATTTTTTGAGTCTTTGTTTGTGTTATTATTTGTGCACCACTCTAGCGCTTTCATTCATATCATAAAGCATAGAGTTTTGTTTGTTAGTTAAATTGTAATCCAACATTCATTATTATGATTATTGTTGTGATCACTTAGGATTAGTGATTGAGAGAATATGAGAGAGATTCTCATATTTATGGGGAGTCCTAAATAGAACGTCATTAGGATTAGGAAGAGACACTGAATAACAGGAGGTTGTTGTTCCTATAAGATTAATTGTACTGATTTGAAATAGTGCATTTCCTTTCTTGGGTTGGAAGCCTCTTAGAGATAGGCGAGGTTGCACCAAAATGGGTTAAAAAATATTTGTGTTCTTTTATTGATTTATCATTTATTATCTTGTTTATTAATAATCTGTTATGTTTGGTTCAAGATGTTGAACACCTTAGCTTAAGCATCTGGTCCAACGTTTGTCCCCTTAAGAACAGAATTTCAATTGGCATCAAAGCAGACACCTTGTTATGTTTGGGTGAGCTCCAGGAAGAATATTTTTTGTTCAAATGGACAACACTAAGGATGAAGGTTATGTCAATAGACCACCTGCTTTTAATATCACCAACTATAATTATTAGAAAGTCAGGATGGTTTCTTTTCTCAAATCTATGGAGAATAAAACATGGAAAGTTGTTATAAAAGGTTGGAAATATCATGTGATTACTTCTCAAGATGGAACATCAACCTTAAAGCCTGAAGCTAATTGGACAAATGTTGAAAATGATGAAACTCTTAGAAATTCCAAGGCATTGAATGTTATTTTCAATGATGTTGAGAAGAACATGTTTAGATTGATCAACACATGTACTAAAGGCAAAATAGCATGTGAGATTCTCAAAACTGCTCATGAAAGCACATCCAAGGTTAGAATGTCAATGTTGCACCTCCTTACTACTAAGTTTGAGAATCTGATGATGAATTTATTTCTAACTTCAGCATTAGACTGCGTGACATTGCCAACACCTCTTTTGCATTAGGAGAAAAGATGTCTGAAGAAAAACCGACCTGAAAGATGTTAGGATCTCTTCCTAAGAAGTTTGATATGACGATCACAACTATTGAAGAAGCCTAAGACACCACTACATATTTATTATATAATAGCACATATTTAATAGCGCTTATTTATCAAGCGTTATTAAATGTATTATCCCATGACCTATAATAAAGCTTTTGTATATGGCGCTATTATAAGTTATTATAAGTTAAAAATTGGATAGGCATGTGATAGCCCTTAATGAAAAACGCTATTATAGGCTAAATTTAAACAAAATATATATATGATTTTGAGCTTTTGATAGCGCTTTATAAAAAATGCTATAAAAAATATATATGATTTTGAGCTTTGATAGCGCTTTATAAAAATGCTATTTAAGATAGCGCAAAAAAAAAAGTAATACAATTTTTATCTACCAATCAAACTGAAGACTTCAAGTTACTGGTCTATGATAGCGCTTGAAGGAAAATTCTATCATAAATATATGTTATAGATAGTAATAAAGAAAATAGATGTAAATATATGACTCCCAGTAAGACTTACTCGCGACGTTCTGCTAACTAAAATCATTAGTCATCATTTTAGCTATTTAAACAACATGATATATTTCTCATAACATTAGTATATAGTATAATTAAAATACTATTACATGCAAGAATTTTTTTTTTAAAATACATTTATATCCTGCACGTTGTTCTTCTGATACTTTTTTCGAGGAAACCATATTTCTGCTTACAACCATCTCATCCAATCTAATAGAAATTTCAAGTTTTTTCTTCCAATTCAAATTTCAGTCTCTTCAAAAACTTGTGCCACCTCCATCAAACCTATAAAATTTCATCATGTGTTGCCTTGAACCCTAAAATTCCAATAATTCTCGTTATCTCGAACCCTAAAATTCCAACAATTCCCGTTATCTCGAACCTTAAAACAATGTTGATGTGTTGTGTGACCTTATCCTAATACTTATTCAAAAAGAGACAACGATAATACTCCTAAAGTAGCTGCTCGCAACTTCATTTGCACCACAGTCATCGCTTCGAAGGAAAAGACAGGTATTTCTTCAAAACTTAAGCATACTAGAATTGATATTTTTTGTTATTATAACTAATATGAATGTTAGATGTTCGATTAAATGGATTATATAAAAAGTTGTTAATTATTCAAGATGATTGCAGTCTTTTTTCAATGTCGTAGTTTATGAAAGAGTGTTTGTGGTTGATAGAAACAGAATTGCATGTAGTGAAAAATAGGTTAGTGTCGTTAACAAATTTATCATAGCTTTTGAACTCTCCCGTGCCAGAAGTTGAATCAGAATTGTAGCATTTGAATTTATCCACATAGAAGATAAAATTTACTAGTTTCATGATCCTCTTGAAATTTAACTTTTTGAAATCAAATTTCACCAGTCAGTAGCAGTCTCTGCTCGCCGGTGTCCAAAGTAGAACTCATCATTCTCCCAATCACACTCCCTTCTCACAAATCAATACCAATTCAATTTCAACACTCAACAAACCTACCTTGATCTAACTAACATAAAGCCATGTTTTCAAAATTTTCTCATTTTAATTCTCCTTGTGTTGCTCTTCCAATTCTCTTCTTCATCGAAACCCATAGACCCATTCCTCGGAATCATACCCCAAGGTTTATCTCTTTCTGTTATGATTTACTTATTTACACATTATCATTTTTTAAATCTAAATTATCATTTGGCACTAGTTATTATCTCTCATCTATGCATACACACAATCAAATTACACATACTAATTTTTTAATTGAGTGACCATCTAGATTAGGATTGATAACATCAAATTTAGGTTGATTGTACTATAAATTGGGTTGAGTTCTTTTAGTGTTTCAAATAAGAAAACCAATTTGGGTTTTTCCTTCAAGATCGTTAAGGGATTTGAAGGTTTTGGACAAGATTACGCAGTTCAGATCAGATCAAGTGAAAGCCTTAAGACAAGGGGTACTTTGCAAGAGAGTAGCATTAGACGGTGAATCGTCTTGGTAAATATTGGATTTTAACAAATGTGCACTTAGGATTAATTCAACCGGGTGAAAGCCTTGGGATAAAGAGTGCCTTGAAAGGAAGTAGCAACAAAAGGTGAATTGAAGCAACATAGTTGGTTACTTGATAAATCTTTGATCAAGGGTTTTGGAAGTGATAGAATCAACATCAAAATAAGGGTTTGTAGGGTTATAGTTCTTCATCTCTTGGATACACATATTTGTAAAGTAAAATATAATATAATATCTCAATTTAAATTTGAATTGAGGGCAAACATACCCATAGCGAGGCCAATTGCGGAACTGCCTAAATAAATCCGTGTGTACTCTCTCTCTCTCTCTCTCTCTCTCTCTCTCTCAATCTCTTTTAATTTGTGTTAGCAAATTGTTAAATTCATTGTTCGTTCGATCAATTCGTTTGGGAGTTGTTTTTTATCACATTTTTGACATAGGTTTTGTTGATTTAATCATAATATGTTTGATTCTAATTGGATTTTAATATCAATAAAACCAAACAAATTTCCAAATAATATCGATTGCACACATGGTGTTTGATAAATTGCCTTATTGTGTTTTTGTGTGTTTTGACCATTGGGAATAAACTTTACATATAACTTAACATTCAATTGGCTATGATTAATAGTGTTGAACAATTTGTGTTTATTATCATACATTTGTGTATCTTTACGCATATCCGAGCTTTTTGATAGAGATTCAGTTAGACGATTCGATCCGGGTTGTTTCCGTTGTGCCATAAAAAGTTTCAAATCAATTTTTGCCAAAAATTTTTATGTGTGATCTATTCACCCTCTATAGATTGAAGTATATCGTCTAACACATTTGTCTTGTCAGCCCATACATAAGCCTTCTCTAAGATCTCCCATGCTTGCTTTGACGATTCACAATCACCAACTTTTTCAAAGTTGTCGCCATCAATACATTGATGGATAAAAATAGTGTCTTGACATCTTT